TATGTCTCTGTTGAAGCTCCCCAGGATGAAGTAGATGTGGTAGGGAAGCCAACATATTGCAAAGGTTGTCACCACCACTATCATCATCTTCACAACCTTTATTAAATTACAAAAATGGCATGAATCTTTTTTTTTTCTTTCAACACAAAGAACTATAATCCAAAACCATAAATAGCTGCTGCCACCAATGAAAAATCTCTCTGGAGTGGCTTATTATTGTGAAGGACACAAGAAAGAAAAATGTGAAAGGAATGAAAAAGCTCATTTTCTGTTCTGCCAGAAGAAAAGCTTTCTGTCCCCAGGGAAGGTTTTACCACTGATTTTAAAATTTTATGGAACTTAACTACATTTGCTCATGATAATACACTTTTTTTCCCCAGATGTAGCTACCAGTGATATGTATCTATTTAGAGTTTAGAAACATGACAACTGTCTTCATCTGAGTGTGCATGTGGGCACATGGCTTAAGTTAGTTCGGTGACTATGCAGAGAAACTGGAATAAATAACAAAATTACACAAGTAAATACTAGCATCACTTACCTTGCGTTTCGCCTGCATCTGGTTCTGGTAGTGGTCTGATGCTTCTCCAGGGATCTCGCTGCCCCACAGCCTCCGTCCCACCAGGCTGTAGGTCACCAACATCACCAGCAGAGGGAGCAAGTAGATCAGGATAATCACAGCAATCTGATACCTATGAGATCAAGCAGCACTTCATGAGTCAAATCTACATAAATGCACTTTTAGGTAAGAATCCTCTACTGTCATTTTTTTAAATTCCTATGTTATGCCTTTGATGGGCATTAAAATATTTGAGAAGTGAACAATTAGGCTACTCTCAATGTTTAACCTCATTTAAAATGATTTTCTTGTCAGTAAAAATTGAGCAAAGCTATTTGTGTAAATCATACAGAACAAAAGGCAAAAGGATACAATTTTTGTCCACTTTTCTTACGAGAGCTGATGTTTCCCTCCATAATCGTCAGGCCATTCCACCATACAAACAGTCCGAGGGAAGTAGAACTTGGTGCTGGCGTAATAACACTGAGGAAAGGCCAGTGAAAAAGCCACGGTCCAGATGACCCCGATCAGAACTTTAGTAGTAGTGGAGGAGAGCCTGAGCTTCAGAGGGTGGATTATAGCCATGTATCTGTGGATTTCAGCCAACAACATCTTAATGAAAGTGAACTTGTGCCTTTAAATGACAGGGTAACATAAATTTGATATATATGAATAACAAAATTGAAAAGGCTGGCAATACCACTTTGTTGACTTTCCCTTCTATTGCCATTCAGTGCATTACAGAGCTTTTTTGGACGGAATTTTCTGCATGCATAATATATAACTGGAGCACATCCAGAAAAAGAAGATTGATTGTTTGCGTCATTTCCCATGCTTAATTATTATCATCTACTTGTTGGTCACTAAATCAGACTCTTATTTACCAGAACACAATCCACACTCAGCGCGAAGTCTCCCTACCAATTTTGCTCATGAGTCACCAGGTCAACTGGAATCGATTATCCAGGAATATCACAAATGCATTATTTGCGCGCACTAAACGGACTTTCAGGGAAACGGAATATTACGCGCGCAGGTAAATTACATGTTCGGGGACGTTGCGCGCTCGAACTACATGCTCACAGGTTCTTATTTAGACCCATTGATAGCTTAAGTGTGGGTCCGAATCAATTCACCATTTTTATTGAGTTTGCATGGGTTTTAAGCGCTTTTCTCAACCCTTTTAAGTAACCATGACGATTGCTCATAAAAATATGAGTTAGGCTATTTATCATTAAAAGGGGCCAAAATGAATATTAATCTAAGATTTGTTTTAATATTAAATATCATTAACTAATTTTGACCGTCTATGGAAGATTGGTGGTAGTGCACAGATAAAAGGTTTATTGGCTACTTAAGCCTTCGAGTTGATGGATTTAGAGCTATTTTCCTCTATGTACACTGACAAAACCTAAAATTTGGTCGAATTAGGTTTATATCCCTGCTGGGGAAAATAGCTCTAACCAGTTTCATCAAGGTCTGCCAGGTGGATGTCAGTCCACCTGATTCATCATTTAGATCTTAGATCAGCTCTTAACCATATATGACCAGCAAAAACAGAAGGGTAACAGATCTAACCTCATCTATGTTTTATCACAGGAACTTACAATCTGTAACTGATTTATGGCACGATTAATGTCATGTTATCATAGTATGATGATTAATTATCCTAATCCATGGGAACATGTTATGGTGAATTGAAAAAGAAATAAAAATCTTTAGATTGTTAATTGCAATTTATAAACTGTAATGTATAAATAACCACAATGATTTTCAATGAAGTGCTTTGCTGCTTACCTGTCAACAGCAATAGCCGCCATTGAATAAATGCTTGAGAACATTGCTGTTATTGGGAAGAAGTTTTGAAATTTACAGTATCCCAAACCAAAATACCAGTCATTGTGCAAAGCATACACGAAATTAAAGACGGTGTTAAAAGTTGCCATAGATGCATCAGAAAAGGCGAGGTTTACAATGAAGTAGTTGGTCACTGTCCTCATGCGTTTATGTGCCAGAATGATCCAAATAACAGTGACATTGCCAATGATGGACACAATTACGATTAAAGAGTATGCAATCGCCCATAGTGCCACCTGCCAGTCCGGCTGCTCGAATAGATTGGTGGAGGTTTGGTTACCATCTTCCTCGTCGTAGAGAAGAGATGTTGAAAGGGGGTCCAAAGTGGTATCCATTGTATTTGTCTGTAGTCACATAAATAAATCTGTATGCTTATTCCAGTGAATGACTCGCTCTGCTGTCGCTACGACATGGTAAACTTGTGTATTTTAGACAGCTGCTGAGAAAGTTCGTTTTCCAAACTGTGAGTGTGGTCAGTGCGCCTCGTGTCCAAACCGCCTGCTGAAGTGTGTTATTGCGACCGAAGGGATGATATAGCACTGAAAAACTGAAGGAATGTGTGCCAAGTGTTGGAGGTGTGTCGGGTCCAAGGCAATGACGTTGAATGAAACACTTTTGCCAGCGCGCATTGTGACGCACAGCATCCTACACTCCTACTAAAAAGCCCGGTAAAAGACCGCAAAATATTTAATTGGTATGCATTTGAGAAGTTAACCGTGGACATCTTGCTGTCATTAATAATTGCCAAACCGCTGTAGCGCACACTAATGGAAATATGTCACAGTTTAGAGCATGTTTGAGGTCTGCTGTACTTGTTCTGCTGAGACGTTGCTTAGATACCCCTCATTTCTCCAATTGTGTGAGGTGATATTTGTTCATTTTGTCAGAGCAGTGAGACAGGTGTCTGGGCAGCAGGTGGAAGAAGTGGATAGTGAGTTAGTGTACATTACTCTTATTTGGACACTTCGAGTGTTATATGATATTTCAGGTTGATGGCTGAAGATCTGTCTTATTCATTATTGTGCGAATTAGGGTAAGATGAACCAACCCCCCCTCCTTACCTTAATTTTTTACTCTTAAGATGGCACAAAATCTTATCATTTTAATTAATGGCTATGCACTATTTTTATTTTTTGTCTCTGGAAAATTGCAATCTGTGACGTGTTATGTTGAATATCAAATGTTGATAATGAGGGAGTTGTGGACACATCAATGTTTTTGGATTTGTGTAGTAAAAGTAACAGCTTTTATTTTGAAGTAAAAAGATAAAATTAGACCCTTATGATGACTTGGCACAGAACCCAAGTTGTTATTATTTTTAAATTAAATATTTATTGTAATTAGTGAGGGTTTTATGTAATATTACCATTAATTTTATGTACATTTCAGACATCTGTAGGTTAGTTGAGTGAAATCATTAAATTTGTATTCATAGTGTTGCTATTTATGACATAGCTTTTCTTTTTAATGGACAATTAAATATATTAACAGATTACCTTTCATATGAATCTCTTTTACTTGGATTCTGCATTGTCTGTCATCAGTTATTCAATTATTTAACTAAATTATCAAAATAAAATTTAAACAGAGTAGTTAATTTAGTATGTTACATTAATGACACTTAAAAATGTAAACATTATTAATTATATCAAAAGCTATTATTACTTTCTTTAAAAATTAGACCCCTTTCTGTACTTTCTGGGGTGAGGGCTGGTGCAGTTACTCCTCTCACCCCTCATTTAATATTTTACATTGCTAAATTAGCAATCCTTTATTAACACATTGCATGGCTGATTTATAATCATCCTCATCCACATTGTTCTTAAAGCTGCAGTCCGTAACTTTTTTGTGTTCAAAATGTACAAAATTTATATAATAAGCGAGTACACCATGAATCCATTTTCCAAACCGTGTTTTTGGCTTGTCCTGAATCACTACGGTACACCTATAATAAGTGTTTATATTCGGACTATTTAGACTGGTTCGGGTAGGTACCGCTGCAGAGTAGCCCAGTACCTGCGTGATTCGCCATAGACATAAACAGAGAGAAGTAGCTCCAGCTACAATGTTCTTCCGCAAGACGCACGCAGTTCTGTTTATTAACCGCTAGAGCGCCAGAAGTTACGGACTGCAGCTTTAAGGAGAGCATCTTACCCTGTCTTACCTCCATTTTACCTTTTAAAAAAAATTATTATTATTATTTTTATTTTTGTATATAGGTCTATGTAAAAAAAAAAAAAAAAA